TCCGCATCCTGCCCAGCCTGCAGCCTCTGTGAGGTCACTCACCTGGCCGCCCCCAGGAGCAAGGAGAGGCCCCAGAGAGCTGTGCTCAGCGTCCACCACCGGGTAGAGTCCACGTGCAGGACCTGGGCGTCGGCGGCCCAGGCGATGTGCTCACAGGGGTAGTAGAGCTGGTCGGCCATGTTGCCCAGCACCGACAGGCAGCGCACCAAGGCGTCCTCCTCCTGCAGGGCCGGGAGAGGGAGGGGCTGCAGTCAGAGCTCCCCACTGCCCCGTTAAGACTGCAGCCACACCAGGCGGCGGCGAGACCCCCCCACACACACACTGTCCCGGGGCCATGTCCCGGCCTGGCAGGCTGACACTGCAGTAAGGAAAGCCTGCTGGGCCGGAGTCCCACCCAGCCTAACTTCTGCTTTCCACACCCGTGGGACACAGTGGCAGGTCTCAAGACCCCATGGCCTGGCACCAGCCAGAGAGGTTCTGCCTCCCCAGGTCTGGGCTGGGCACCGGTTCCCTGATCGAGATTCCCATGTATGACCATGCTGGGACACTGCCTTCCTTCTGGGCAGCTTCCAGTTCCCAAACACAGGTCTCAGGGGGCTCTGCAGAGAGGGACCTGGGCGGGGACCCAGCCGGGTGGGGTGAGGACACCGGCTGCCCCAACAGTGCACAGCTCGTGTCCCTCCCCGGCCCAGGAGAAGCCGCAGACATGAATTCCAGACTGGCAGGCAGGCATTTAGGGAAGCCGCCTGCCTTTGGCAGGGACAGGGTCCCAGGCAGCTGAGCCAGAGTGCACGTGAGCTCTTGGTCCTGCACAGTGCCTGGCACATCTGCCCAAGTCCTCTTCTTCCCTTTTATTGTTTGTTTGTTTCTGCAGTGCTGGAGATCGAACCCAAGGCCTGGTGCCCTGAGCCACCCCACCCCCCACCCGGCCTCTGCCCCAAGTTCTACAACTCCCTCTACCCAGCAAGGCAGGGCCCAAGGCGCCCTGAGGCCTGGCTTCCCGCCTCCCCCACCCCTCTCAGGGCCCCATACCTCTGCCGTCACATGGGCAACATTGCAGAGATCATGTGCAGTGAAGCAGGCACCAGGCTACTCCCTGCCCAACCCTCATAGCAGCAAAACATTAGGAATGCGCTAACGTCCACCCACAGGGCCAGTTAGATCACCATCTGTTAGGGTGGTGGTGCACTATAGGGCCATCGAGAATGAAGGGGCCTGGGCCGGGGATTTAGCTCAGTGGTTCCACCGCCTGCCCCAAAGGCGCAAGGTCCCAAGTTGGATTCCCGGTACAAAAAAAAGAAAAAAAGAATGAAGAGGTCTGGGCCAGGGATGTGGCTCCGTGGCGCTGGGTCCTGAGTTCAATCCCCAGTACCAAAACACAAACAAAGGGGCCAAGGCCAGCTATGTTGGTGCATGCCTGGGAGGCTGAGGCAGGAGATTTGCCCTGAGTCCAACGCCAGCCTGGCCAACATAGAGAGTTCAAGGGCATCCTGAAGTACCTAGAGAGACCTTGTCTCAAAAATGAAACAACGGGGCTGGGGATTTAGCTCAGTGGTTTCGCCACCTGCTGCGCAAGCGCAAGGACCCGAGTTTGATCCCCGGTACCAAAAAAAAAAAAAGATAATAAATTGTCCAACAGGGAGCACTTTGGGATAAGCCCATAAAACAGGGACCAATCAAGGCTGAAGCCCAAGGCCTCCTGAGGTCTGCACCCCTCTCCCTACACCCCACACACCCCGTTACCTCTGTCCCCAGGCCATACTGCTTTGTGTACAGAAACATGGCCAGGTCATCAAAGAGTCGAAGGACAGTCCTGCAGTGGCTCAGCTGGGCCGACACCACCAGCAGGCGCGTCCCCACCTCCGACCTGGCAGGACCTTGTTGGAGCAGGACCCCACCAACCAGCTGGCAGCAGTACCCCAGCATTCGGATCTGTGGGAAACCAGAAGCAGTCAACAGCTCTTCCTGAATAAGCTGGATCACCCCTGTCCTGGTTGAATGTGCAGGAGATTCTAAATCAACAAGCTTCAAAAAAAAGCTGGAAGTTTAAAAAGGTGTTTTTGCAAGCTGGGTGCACTGGTGCATGCCTGGGATCCCAATATTCTGGGAGGCTGAGGCAGGAGGATAGCAAAGTTCAAGCCCAGCCTGGATAACTTAGGGACTTAGTGAGACCCTGTCTCAAAAGAAAAAATAAAAAAGGTTGAGGACGAGCTCAGTGCAAAAGCCCTAGGTTCAATACCCAGTACTGCAATAAATAAATGAAAGCACTTGCATGGCCCGGGGAATTTAGCTCAGTGGTTCCGGCGCCTGCCTTGCAAGCGCAAGGACCGAGTTCCATCCCCGGTACTAAAAGAAAAAAAAAAAAAATTGGGGCCGGGGATTTAGCTCAGTGGTTTCACCACCTGCTGCGCAAGTGCCAAGACCTGAGTTCGATCCCCGGTACCAAAAAAAAAAAAAGCACTTGCAGGTGGGACAAATGGGGAACATGACATCATTGTCCAAAGGGTGCAGTGAGAGTCCTGGCTCAGGCCAGAGGAGGAGGTGGAAATGCAGATTTGCATCAACCTACTTAAGCCAAAACCCTTAGCTGGGCTGCAGGCTGAGAGCAGGGGATCCAGCTTCACTCCACCAGACAAAGTAGCAATTTGTTTGAATGGCTTTCATGAAAAGGAACCCAGTGAAAGGGTCATCAGAGCATTGTGAAATGGGTCAGGTTCAACTCCCTTCTAGCTTCCATTTTTCATCTGCTCCTCAAAAACTGCTTCTGTTATTTTATATATTCTGTTACATGTAACCCTTTCCAGATCCACTGTGATGGTAAAACACTGCAATTTAAATGTCTAATTTAAGTTGAGGGTGTGAAAACCTGAATGCTCAATCATAGGGGATTTGGCTGGACCCTAAATGCCTGACCACCAAGGCGCACGTGTGCATACACACGTTCCCAGGTACAACTTACATGCGCACTGGCAAAGAACTAGTCAGGACATGTTAAGAGTCCAACCTCAGGGACCTGAATGGACCGACCTTCATGCTCAACTGCAGGGGATTTGGCAGAACTTAAATGTCCAGCCCTAAGGGGAGCCCTGTAACATCCTAAATCCACCTATGTGACAGTGTTGGGAACCCAGGGAGCAACTTGGTCAGATTCTAACTGTCAAGCACGGAGATCTGGTCAGGAAGTGGAAATCCAGCCGGGCTGGGCATGAGGAACAACCTAAGCGGGATGGACTTGGAGCCCAGCTTGGGCAGAGCCCCGGCGATGGGGGATCCTGAGCGACACCGCCCCTCTCTGGCCTCCGCTTCCTCGTCTCTGAGGTCTGAGCGAATTCCAGGACGCCGGCCCCGCTCGGCCCCAGCCTCACCAGGCGGTCCCGACCCCTGTATGACTCCAGCGCCGAAGCCAGGTTGCTCACTACCGCCATGGCGACTCCGCCGTGACGTCACCAGGACGTCTGCGCGCCGCGCCTGGGGGCGGGACCAGGCCGCTTCGGGAAGAGGCGCGAGGCTCGCGCGAGCTCTGCGCAGGCGCTCAGAGCGCCCTTTGTCCCCGAAGCAGCTCTTTGTTCGTGCAGGTAGCAGGCGAGTTTGCAAATTTGAGGCGCTCACGTGGGTGCGCGGCCAGCCTTCGGGGCCCGGATGACCCTGGGAGCTTGCTGCAATTGCGCCGAGGCGGATTAAGCAACATGAAAATATGTCAGAGTTGACCATATACCCACGCTGTATCGCTAGATATCCGGACCTGGAGCTGGGGGCCAGGCTCAGGGGTGGAGCGTTTGCACAGCAAGCGTGAAGCCCTGGCTTCAGTCCTCAGAAATGAAACAAAAAATACAGTCCTTCAAATGCGTTATATATCTGTGTGTATGTGAATATGTGTGGGTATATGTGTTTATTTATATACTTCTTTGTGTTGGTACTGGGGATTGAGCCGAGGGCCTTCCCGCTGGGCTACATCTCCAGACTTGTGTTTAGTTTTTATTTTGAGACAGGATCTCGCTAAACGGCCAAGTTACCTAGGCTAGGCTAGAACCTGTAATCCTCCTGCCTAAGCCTCCCAGAGTCCTGGATTACAAGCTTGTACAATCACGACCAGCTTTGTGTGTGTGCGCGCGTGTGTGTGTGTGACGTATGTAATATATGTATATATGTACTTGTGCATATATGTTATACACGTATATAAATTTGTATGTATTATATGTGTAATATATATGTATTCTTTTGCATGTGTCCCAAGTAACCTGTCACAAAGGCTCAAAGAGGGATTTCTTTTTCTAATTGCTCTCCTTTACCCTTCCTCCATTATGTTTATAGTATGTATGATCATCATAATATTAGGTTGTAAGTTAACTTTAGATGTTATGAACATACTTAGGTCATTCAACAAGAATAAAGAAGAATCTGGTGACCAGAATTGCTCCAGGGAGGGTTAGTAGGGTGACTGGTTAACTTTTCGCCTTTATGGCATTTTGAGACCTTTGAATTTTGTGCAGTATACATGGATTATCTCATCAAAGACATCAAAATTTTCCAAAAGTTAACACCCATTCCCTCTTCTTTTTAAAATTGAGATATATCATATAACATGAAATTAATCTTTTTTTTTAAGTACTGGAGATTGTACCCAAGGCCTTTGCACTGAGCTACATCCCTACCCCTTTTTCGTTTTTTATTTTGAAACAGCCTCACCATATTGCCCAGGCTAGGCTCAAACGTGTGATCCTCCTGCCTCAGCCTCCCAGAGTGCTGGGATCACAAGTGTTTGCCATCACTCCTGGCTGAAACCACCACTTAAAAATGTACAGTCCGGGAGCTATTTAGTGCATTCACATATTGGGCAATCTTCGCCCCTTACTAGTTTCAAAGCATTTTGTCACCTCTAAGAAGACCTATAGGAGACCAGAGTATGCCAACACAAAATATGCCACCTTGGCATAAGGGTTATTTTGAACTGAAGGTGGAGCACATAGAAAAAGCTCTTTGTTTCTTTTTGGTTTGGTTCTTTGAGACAGAGTCTCATTATGTAGCCCCGGCTGGCCTCGAACTCACAGTGATCCTCCTGCCTCAACCTCCTGAGAGCTGGGATTACAGGTGTGTGCACTACCACACCCAGCACTTTACCATTTATCTGCCTTCCTGTAATTGCCACCCATGGAGACTCAAAGTCCTCCTGTCTTCTCACTGCACTAAAAATGTTCTGGGTGGAAGATGCTATCTAGGCCGGAATTTGATCCCATTACTCACTTCTCTGGACATCACCCAAGTACACATGAGCCACATCTGTTCATGAATGTTTTTCTCTCAATTCTTCGGTTATAAGGATCTTATCTGAGCTAAGAACTAAGGGTAGAAGGGAAACTGTTTTTCTTCCCTCTGCTCTGTGCCCAGGAAGCAAGCATCTGACCCCTCCCTCTCCCCTCCCCTAGTCTGCTTTCTCTCTGTGTATTTACCTTTCTTGATTATTTCATATAAATGGATGACCCTTGTGGGCTGGGTGCCCCATCTCGGAGGTTCCGAATAGAAGTCCAGCTGGCTTCTTTGCCTTGGCCTTCCATAGACAGGTAGATCGAGGGGGCTTGCTCTAAAGGAGATGGGTTCAAAACAGTGTAAAATGGAAATGGATTGTCTTGCATGTTGGTTCTCTGCGGGTCTGGAGGGAGGGAGGGAGAAGCTGCTGTGAAGTCTAGCTTGGCACATTCTGCCCAGGAGGTCTCTTCCTGTCCCTGTTCTCAGCCCAGCCTTTTATCCTTTGCCCCTCTAAGCCTGGCTTAGCTGCCTGCATTAGTCCTTAACCTGGCTGGGCTAATTTTCCTTCACATTTCTAAGTTTAACCGGCTGCTTAACCCTCCCCTCCGATCCTAGCTTAGGCTTTTCTAACTGCCGATTCATTATAGCTAAACTAAGCTACCACAGTGGGATTGTTAAGAGGTGGGGTCTGGGTGGAGATCATTGGGGTCACCCTTAATGGGGACATAGGGACTTTGCCCCTTCTGGTGTCTCACTGTTTCACTCTGCTTCCTGGCTGCTGTGAGGCGAAAAGTCCTCCATCACCTCCTCCCACCATGCAGCAACACCATGGACTGCAACCCCAGAAACCAGAAACCCCACACCCTTCCTCCTAATCAGTCGATTATCTCTAGTATTTTGTTACAGTCAGGAAAAGCTAACCGTGACTGTATGTGTGTGGCTTTTTTCACTGAGTATAATGCTTTTGAGATTCGTCCTCACTGTAGCATGTACTACAATTGTATACCTTTTTTGTAGCTGAATAATAGTCCCTTGGGCAGCTAGACCACATTTTGTTTAGCCAGTCACCTGTGGGTGGGCATACAGGCTATTGTGACAGAGGTGCTATGCCCATTTATGTGCATGTGCTTGTTTAAGTCTACTTTGAATTCCTTTGGGTTGTACAGGAATGGAATTGCTGGGTCATGGAGTATAGGTTTAAATTTTTGAGGAACTGCTGAACTGTTTTCCACAGTGGCTGCACTATTTTATGTCCCCACCAGCCACGCACAAGGGTTTCGACTTCTCCATATCCCTGTGACCTCCTCTCTAAGTGACTGTAGTCAGCCAAGTGTGTGTGAAGTGGTATCTATCCCATTGTGGTTTTGTTTTATATTTCCTTAGTGACTCATGATGTTGACTGGTTTCCTTTTGCAAAATATTCCTTTTTTTTTTTTTTAGACAGGGTCTCCCTATGTAGTTCAGGCGGTCCTTGAACTCACTCAGGCTGGCCTCAAACTCTCAGCGATTCTCCTCCCTCAGCCTCCCAGAGCACTGGGATGAGCCACTATGCCTGGCTGGCATGCTTCTTCCATCCCCTTTGCAGCCAGGCATGGTGGTGCAGACCTGTCATCTCAGCTACTCAGGAGGCTGAGGCAGGAGGGTCGCAAGTTTAAGGTCAACCTGGGTGACATAGTGAGACCTTGTCTCAAAATAAAAAATGCAAAGGGCTGAGATGTAGCTCAGTGATAGAGCACCCTGGATTCCACCCCCAGTCTTGCAAAAGCCCTACCAAGGAACCCCACACGAGCTACTTTCCAAGGTCAGACCCTCCAGTGACTTAAAAACCTCTGGCTAGGCTGCACCCCCACACACATCCCAATAGCACTGCCCCGCACAACCAAGCCATCAAGCCCAGTGCACCCTGCAGTCCACATACTACGTGCCCCCCACACCCGAACCGTGCAGCTGTGAAAACATAACTGTGCACCGTGCTTGTGTATCCAGCAGCCCACCTGTCAGCAGGAAGTCCAGGCTCGCGGGGCAGTGATGCCACCACGTGGTGTCCAAAGCCGGACCCTGTGACTTGGCACAGAACAGGCTCCCGCTAAGTGTCACTGCCTGCAGGCCCTGGCCCATCTGCAGGTTTCTTTCCCTGCTCCACAGCGTCCTGGGAGACCTTGTCCAAGGTAACAGCCAGGCCTGACACAACCCAGGTGCCCAACTAGCAGGGATTTGGCCAGAACCTAAATGTCCAGCCATGTGGGAAGCCCTGCGATATCTTTAACTCCCAGACCAGATGCTCTGGGACAATCTAGGGACCAAGTTCACTGGCCTGGGCATGTCCTGAGTGTTCTACCATGGACACTTGGTCACTGCGTGGAAGCCCAGCCAGGTTGCATGTGCAAAACCACCCACGTGTCGCATGCTAAGGGGAGTAGACTTTGGTGTTGTTTGTTCTGTTGGAGACAGGCCCTCACTATGTAGTCCAGGCTGGCCTTGAACTCATGGTCATCCTCCTGCCTCAGCCTCCCAAGTGCTGGGATGACAGGTGTGTACCTATACACAGCGCTAAGGGGAGCAGCTTATACTAAGCTTGTTCAGGGGCCTCTGTCCTGACGCATCACGGATGCCACAGCCACTTCTGCATCAGCTTTCTCCCTCGAGTGGAGTCTCTGACTGCAACCCAAATCCAGCACCCCTCACCGCGGGACATCCCACAAGCCCTTTCGCACTCAGCAGGCCCCAGACTGATGTCAATATCTCATCCTTGTGTTCCCGTCTCAGGGACAGCCCTGACATCCACCCAGGGCCCTACACATCCCCGACACCATGCCAGCGTCTTCCCTCCGCATGCAGGCGCCTGTCCCACAAGATCCCTGGAATCCAACTTTTCTTCTCAGCCCTCGGCCACCTCCTCTGACAGTCACCATTCTTGCCACCTGGCGATTGGGCCCTTTCCCCACAGCATCCCAGCATCCCAAGCGATGTTTGTGTGTTGGGGGGGGCGGGGTACTGGGAACTGAACCCGGGGCCTTTGCACTGAGCTACATCCCCTAGCCCTTTTCTCTTTTTTATCTTGAGACAGGATCTCGCTAAATTGTTAAGTTGCCCAGGCTGGGCTGGAACTTGGAATCCTCCTGCTTCAGCCTCCCAGAGTGCTGGAATGACAGGTGTGCACCACCACATTTAAGCCTAACATCCAAACAGGGCTTGGTCCTGTTGCAACTTGGGTTCAGGGCTCTATGGGCACCCTTCTCCCCCCAAATTCAAGCCAAGATCAAGGCATGCAGAGACAGCTCCTGCCTGAGTGGGCGACCCCTTCTCTCGAGCCTCTGCTGTCCCCAACTGGCCCCAGGTGCAGCAGTGAGTTCAGCAGGCTCTGTCCAGACCTTGCAGCACCCAGCATTGGGTTTGAGCCAACCTTGACCTTCAGGAACAGGCCTGGACTTGGTGGTGTGGGTGCTGGCCCGGCCCAGCCAGGGTCCTTCCGCTGCACATGAACAGTTCCGCAAGACGCCAGCGTCGGACAGGGCCACTCCTCGAATGTGAGTGAGGGAGATGAAAAAAACCCACTGCATCCACACGGCTGAGCAGGGGTGAGACAAACACGAGCAGGAATGCAGCTGACAGCCTCAGACCTACTCTGCTCCTGGCTAAAAGGAGCGGCCGCTAATCCCTTACCCGGCCGGGCTCTAGCTGTGTTCCATTCCTTCCAACTTCTTCCCAGAAATGATTGGGATTCCATAACAGCAGGACCTCTCTCCTGCTTCCTGTTAGCATCCAACATTCGCCTTCCAAATTCCCTTTCCCAGCAGCAGCAACAGCAGCAGGGGGCGGGGGCGGTGGCAGCGCTGGCTGAAAAGTGCAATCACACCCCCAGGAGCAGCTGACCAGGCCCCAACCCGAGGGACAGAACTGAGGCATTATGAACTGCATCAGCCTCAGCACTCATATTTTTATTTCATTTATTCTCTAAATTTTAATCCAGTCAGCTGTGACAGTACAGGCCCATCATTCCAGCTACTCCAGAGGCTGAGGCAGGAGAGTCTCAAGTTCAACCCCAGCCTGAGAAATTTAGAGACTTATTGAGACCCTGTCTCAAATATAAAAAAGGCTGGGATGTAGCTCAGTGGTAGAGCACCTGGGCTTGATCATCAGTCTCTCTAACGCTCTCTCTCTCCCTCTCTGCCTCTCTCTCTCTCACACACAAATTTAATTCGCTTTACGGAGCTCTGATTCACACATAACAGAACTCAGCATTGTTAGTTTCATGAGTCATCCTGCTTTCCCTCCCCCACTCCAGGCCAAGGAGTTTTAACAAAGTCATGCAGTTGTGTGACCACTGTAACAATTAAGACAGAGATGTTGTCATCACTTCCCAAATTCCCTTGTGTTTAAAAAAATTGCTTGTTGTTGTTTGTTTTTTTGGTACCGGGGATGGAACTCAGGACCTTGCTCTTGCCAGGCAGGCAGCGGCACCACTGAGCTAAATCCCCAGCTGTTGTTTTTTGAGACAGGGTCTCACTACTTAGCCCAGGCTGGCATGGAACTTCCAGAGATCTTCCTGCCTCAGCCTCTCGAATGCCAGGATTACAGGCGTGCATGATGCTGCCCAGCTTTTTAAAAGGAAGCTTCTGAATGCCATTAAGGGATGCAGGGACTCGGGGAGACCGGGCCAGCCTGGCTGGGCAGTGGAGGAGGCAGAGGCACAGGCAGACTGGAAAAGCAGCAAACTGGACACCAGCACCTGCTTCATGGCGCCCTTCTGCTGCTTTCCAAAGTCTGTGCTGCCGATGGAGCCCTTGGGAGGCAGGGTGCAAAGCCAGGGCCTCTGGGCTGCCCTGGAGGTGCTCGGGCCCATTGTGACACCATCGTTCGGGGAAGTGAGGAGGTCACAGTGGGCAGGGCGGGACCACGCTGGGCTGCAGCTGTGTGACCAGGCCCTGGGAGGTCAGGGCCAGGAAGTCTGAGGGCCCAGCTGGCCCCCAGCCCAGCACGTGTTAGCTGTCATGACACCCCCGTAGGTAGGTCTCTGCCCTTGTCCCTGTGGAGGAGGAAACCAGGGATTGCAGGAATCGATTACCTGGTTACTAATCTTAGCTGTCAGCTTCTCCCACAAAGTTTGGAATCTTCTTGATTCTCAACTATTTCAGGATATAAAATGATCCACCAAAAAGCAAAACAGGTGTGGTGGTGCACACCTTTCATCCCAGCTACTCAGGAGGCTGAGGCAGGAGGACCTCAAATTTGAGGTCAGCCTGGGCAACTTAGTAACTTAGCAACACACAGTCACAGGGATAGAGCACTTGCCTGGGGTGTGTGAAGTCAAGGAAGGCACAAACCTGTACACTAAAATCATGGCTTCATTAAAAACACCCACCTGAAGAAGGCCGGGGGTGTAGCTCAGTGGCACCACACCCGCCTGGCAAGCACAAGGTCCTGAGTTCAATTCCCGGGGGACTGAAAAAAAAGAGACTTTGAGTCTCAAGGCAATATGTGTGCCACAAAATGTGAAAAACACGCCTCTGAACACAGGTGGACTGGGAGGGCTGCGTGGAGGAACGGAGGCTGAGAGCCAGGGAGGCTGGGAGGAGCAGGGAGGAGGGCAGGGAGACAGCTCGGCTCCAGGTAAAGCAAGAAAGTCTCAAGCTGGGAGCCTGGAGTTAAAGGTGGGAGAAGGAAGGAGAATGGGAGGTGTGGGAACCTCAGACATGGAACACAAAGCTCCCCCCCAGGAGGGCAGCTGCACAGGGCACAAGGGACAGTGAGAAAGCACTGTGGAAATGAGATTGTGCGGCAGGGTGTGGAGGCACACATCCGTCATTCCGTACCCAGGAGGCTGAGGCAGGAGGATCACTGCAGCTGGGCTGCATGCTGAGTTCAAGGATAGCCTGAACTACAAAGTGAGGCCCTATCTCAAAAAGAAGCGCTGGCTGTGGATGGACTGTTCTATATAATAGCTTGTCCTTCCTCTGCTTTGAACCCTACCATGGTTCCCACCTCATTACAAAAAAGCCCAGGTTCTCCCCAGGGCTTTGGAGCCCCCGGCCACCTGCACCTTTCCAATTCCGTACTTTAGAGATGGGCAGGGAACCCGGGGCCTTACGCGTGCTAGGCAGGCGCTCACCATGGCGCCACACCTCCAGCCCTGTCATCAGCTACAAGAGGGCAGGGTTCAGGGTCTGTTTGGTCAGATGCTGTACCGCCCCCGTGCCTAGGACGGTGCCTGGCACCCAGCAGACGCCAAATGAATGCCGGTTTCTCTCTCGACTTCCCTGGGGCCCAGCACAGGGCGTGCGCCTGTTTTCCCGACGACCCCGCCCCAGCGCAGTGCCTGGCGCGCAGGAAGAAGTCAAAGGCAGCTTTGTCCTCGGCGGTCTCAGGCCCGGTCCGGTGCCCCCGCCCCTGCGCAGGTGGCGCTGTGCCGCGATGGCCGCGAGCCCCCTCCCGCCGTGCCCGGCGTCCCGGATGGACTTTCTCAAGGCCTGGCGTTTCGCGCTGGGCCCGGACCCGCGGCTGCACCAGGGCACCCAGCGCTCCACGACGCACCGGGACTTCCCCTCCCACGGCCCCAACGCGCGAGCACAGCGGGTCCCGCAACTGCCGAGCGCTCAGCTCTTCCAGCAGGACCCTGGAGGGTCGGCCGAGGAGCGCGTGTCGGAGGCGCGCCGCGCGTTCACGCCGCCAGCGAAGGCCGAGGGCCCGCAGGGACGCAAGGCCGCCACGCGCCACCGCAGCCTGAGCTTGTACGCGGGCGCGCGGGCTGGGCCCGGCATCTCCAGCACGCGCGCCGCCTACCGCTGGCCCGAGGTGCAGGCGCGCGCCGGGGAGCGGATCGGAGGCGCGCGCCTCATCTTTGACCTGGACTCGGTGCCGCCTGGCGACAAGGACAAGCTGCGCGTGCCCCCCACCGCGTACCGCACGTTCTTTCCGCCCCACGACGCGAGCCCGCAGCCCCGCGCGCACTGCTGCCATCTGGGTGAGCGCGCGCCTCTGCGCGCTGTGCACAAAGAGGGGCAGGGATTCTGCAATTTCCCCCAGTTCCAGGGAACGTTTGACAGTGTCGGCAAACAGTTTTTGATTGTCACCACTAAGGGAAAGGGTCCTGCTTGCAGGTAGAGGCTAAGGATAAGGCTAAACATCCCACTACCCACAGGGCAGTCACCCCGTGAAAAACAATTAGCCAGCTCCAAATGTCGATAGTACTCGACCTCCAACACCACCCCGGACTTCCTTGGGCCTCAGTTTCTCCAGCTGTGGAGTGGACACATCCTCCCGAATTTCTCCAGGGTGCTGTGTAGTGGGGAGAAGTTATGAATGCTGCTTTGAGTTCAGTGTAAGCTCCCCGTGGCCACCCCGGCCCTGCACCTTCGTAGCTGTGTGATTGACCAAGTGAGACTCTCCAAGCCTTGATCCACTCATCTACAAAATGGGCGCTGTTCCAGGGCCTGACCTCACAGGAGCTGGTGAAACTGAAGGGTCTCAGTGAGCCCGGCACATAGTGGGTGCTCAACAAAGAGGAGCCCCTGGGAGTGTGGTTTTCCAATTCGGTGGCTCCAGGACCCTTGCAGGTGATTTCTGTGATTTCCAGCAAGTTGCTTACCCTCTCTGAGCCTCAGACAGCCTGTGAAGTGAGTACCAGGCCCAAGACGCAGGTGCAAAGCCCTGGAGGCATGGCTCAATGCTTCATAGTTATCCTTTGTATGGTTAGGAGATATGCTTGAAAAATATGGTGAGTGTTTAAACTTAAAAATTCATGACTGAAAAACTCACATTGCCATAAATCTCCTTCTAAATCCTCCTCCTCGCTTTGAGCACACCTCCCCCATCATTCTTGCCACTTTCTGAAGCCGTTTTGAAAGCTTTCTTTCGTGAGTGTCCAGGTGAGCTGTTATGGCTGCGTCTGTGTCCTGAATCAGTTCAAAACATTGGCCTTTCATGGTCGTTTTGACTTTGGAGGAGAGCCAGGCGTCACATGGTGCCGGACCCAGTGAAGAAGATAGATGAGGACCCAGCGTGATATTTTCATGGACCTGCCTTTCCCTTGGATGGCAGTCAACTCCACAGCAGCTTTCACCATAGTTTTGTCCGCACCTCATGAAGACGCTCCCCAAAGAGCCCTTCCAGAACTGCTTTGGAAAGTGGCAAGAACAGTGGGATAAGTGTGTTTGAAGTAAGAGAGAGGATTTTGAGGGGGGTTAAAGGTACTGTGTCTCTTACTGTAATCATTTTTTAAAATTTAAACATTCACTTTACCTCTATATATCTTTTGTAGTCTTGTCATTTTTTGGTACACTCCAGATAGTCCTCAGTCTAGACTGGTAAGGATTTCTCAGCCTTTTTTTTCCAGGCAAGGGATTGAATCCTATGGGCCCTGTGGTTTCAGGGAACCAATCCCATTCCCTCTCTCTCTCTCTCTCTCCCTCTCTCTCTCTCTCTCTCTCCCTGCCCCTCCTCAGGGGGTGCCAATACCCTCAGGTGGGACTACAAGGGACAGAAAGAGAACTCCTACAAGAGACAATTCCAGGCCCTGCTGGGCCCACCTGCCTCTATGTGTAAGAGGGTAAACTGAGGCAGGATTGGGGCTGCTGGGGAGGGCAGCCACGCAGGCCGGGTGGCCTTGGCCTTCCCACCCCTCTCTGCATACAGGCGACTTTCTCTGTGCCCCTAGGAGATTGCCAGACTGGGTATGGCCCAGTGTACTCAGAGCTGAAACAGACCCATGCACCCCAAGGCCTGCCCCCGGACAGGTACAAGGGACCGCCATCTCTGCCACCAGGATGGGCCAGTTGGTATTCGGCAGCGGCTTTCAGGTCTCCATATTGTGTCAGGTCACCCATTATTAATGTCTGCCAGCTCAGCCAGTGCTGCTCCCCTCTTTCCTGCAAGGAGCCATGCAGATCCCACCTTACCTTACCCACAGGTATGACAAGGCCCAGGCAGCCGCTCACATCCACTGTGTCAGTATCCCACCTGGAGACAGCCTCTTCCACGGCAGCACTACGGTGACCGACCACTTCTATGCGTGGGACCCAGGTGAGGGCCTGCCTCCTGCCTCTGCTGGCTCCCTCTCTCTGTGGCTTCCCCACACCGCTCAACCCTTACTCTGCCCTGGCAGAGCCTTTCCTTCTTCACCATGATCAGACTCCAGAATCGCACATCCTGAAAGGAAACTGGTGTCCTGGCCCCGGAAGCCTTACAACCTCCATGCAGGATTTCTATGGCCAGGTCAGTGGGTAGGGGCAGAAAGGGGAGGGGTAAGCAGGGCAAAGGGCTTCAAAGGCAGAGAAAATAGCAAGTGCAGGGCTGGGAATTTAGCTCAGTGGCACCATGCTTGCCTCATAAGCACAAGGTCCTGAGTTTAATCCCTGGTACTGAGAAAAACAAATAGCAAGTGCAAAGGCCTTGAGCTAGGAGTGAGCTTGGTATGTGTGTGAGGATCACCTAGATGTATTTGATCTTGGGGAAGTTACTTTCAAACTTCCATATCTCAGTGGGGTGGCGCTCGCCTGTAATCCCAGCACTCTGTCTCTAAATAAACAATAAAAATGGTTGGGGATGTATCTCATTGTGAAGGCTTTGGGTTCAATCCCCTGTGAATAAAGTAAAAACCTCCCTGTCTCATTCGAATGAGATAACAATTCCCAGCAGCGTCATGGAGCCCAGAGAGGGGCGGGGAGCTGTCCCGTGCCACACAGCACCCACCCTCTTCCTCCCCGTGGGCTTCGGGACATCTCAGACTTGGCAGTTTCCTAGCTTCTTTGTGGTCCCACAGCCACCGCCTCCGACCCAGCCAACCAGACGCCACATGACCCATGAGAAATGGCAGGGTCACGTGACCCTGGGAGAGCCAAAGCTGCTGGGGACACGTCTTCCAAAGCACCATGCACTCAGCCTACTGTGCCCGGGACGGAGGGAAGCCACCGAAGGCACTCAGCCTCCACTTCACAGGGACCGACCTGCCTCAGGGCAGCGGCGGTGTGCCCCCCCCATCCAGAGAGGCCCCGCCCACCATAGAAAGCCCCGCCCCGTCCCTGGAGGCCCCGCCCCATCACGGCCTTGTCCCCCTGCTGGACTCTGGCTCTGCCTCCTGCAGGGTTAAGCCTCGCCCTGGACTGGCCAGGACCCCCAGTCCTCCCCTGGACAAACCTGTCCCCCCCTGGCCTTGGCACTACCTTGCCACCCTGCTACGGCACCGCCCCCTGCATGGCTCCGCCCCTCGGGAGCAGCCACAACCCCGCCCCTTCTCCATCTGCCCTCACTCAAAGCTGCCCTTTCTCCTCTGTCAGGTGCTAGCTCCGCCCTCTGACCTGCTGGCTGTCCTACTTGGCCCCGCCCCCAGAGTCCTGCGGTCTGGCCCCGCCCCCACCCCAACCTCAGTCCTTTTTGGAGGAAGGAATTCGGGAATTGAACCCAGGGCCTTCATACTGACCAACAACCCCAGCCCTTTTAAACATATTTTATTTTGAGACAAGGCCTTAAAGCCTGGGCTTGAATTGCAGTCTTCTGCCTCAGCCTCCCAGAGTGCTGGACCGCAGACCCGTGCTACCACGCCTGGCTCCAACTCCACTTCTAACCCGTACTTGGCCCCAGGTCAACATCAGCCTTTGTCCCTGAACCCGTCCCCCACCCTCAGCCCCTCTGTCCCTCAACTGCCGGCGCCCCTGCCCAAATCTGCAGAATTCGACTTTTCAACCACTAACCAGACGATGCTGAAGCCGCACGGAACAGCCGGAGCGCGCAAGACTCCAGAGTTGCCGCGGAGGGTAAGAGGGGAGGACAGGGGACGCCCCACACAGCTTCCGAATGGGCGCGGTTGGCAGGACGATCACACTGTCACCCTCCGACCCCACCCCGGCCTCAAGTCACCCCTAGCTCACCCGAGGTCATGTCAGGATCTCCCCATGACTCTTCATATGGAGCCACCGAGGTTCACTGCTCCTCTCGTGTCTCGCTGGCGTCTCCTGGAGCTCTGTGGTCAGCACAGCCCGGCCCCCTTTGCCCACCTCCGGGGTCCAGTCCCTAGACACACACGCCTGCACCTCGGCCCAGCCTTTGATGCCCCAGGGTGGTCCAGGCACCACAGGCTGGACAGGGTGGGTGCCCTGCCGACCCATCCCACTCCACAGTGTAAGTACATCCACCTGGAGTTCCCGCTGGGGAGACAGCGCTTCTTCTCCACCCACTACAAGGAGGAGTTTCCCTGCAGGTACCAGGGCCCCGCAGTACTGAGACTAAGCAACGCCCAGGAGAGCTACGTGCCGCTGGGCATGCCTCGCCATCGGGGCTGCCCGAGAGGGGCGATAGACCCTCAGGCTTCCCAGCTCCCTTTGTACCCTTGCTCCAGCCAGCAATAAATGCACCTTGCCTAAATCTGCCCTCTGCATCAGGCCGCCTTTTTTTCTGCATAGGTGGGGTACTGAGGACGGAACTGGGGCACTCACAGTGAGCTACATTCCCAGCCCTGTTAGGTTTTTATTTGGAAAGCTAAGACTTTGGTCTCACTAAGTTGCCCAGGCTGGCTTTGAACTTTCCATCTTCCTGCCTCAGCCTCCTGAGTAGCTGGGATTACTGGTGTGCGGCACTGTGCCCAGCTCCACCAGCCCACTGTTAAAGGCGATGCTTGGACAGATGGGGGCAGGAGGGGATTGACAGGTGACAATGGCTGTTTCCTCCTTTGAGAAAAACCTGAGCGCCTGAGCAGTGTCCCAGCCCCTGGCTTGCACTGAATGGCACAGAGGGTTTGGAGTGGGACAGAGCCATTGGGGCGGGGGTGAGGATGTGCCTTCCTGGGGCTGTGAGGCAGGAGGTGGCAAAAGAACAAGCTAGAGAAAGAAGGGAGGTTCCACCTTGGGGCCAGCTTTCCGGGACTAGAGTCACCTTCCAAGTTAACATCAGCCCAACAGCTGAAATAAACAGACACTTCTCAGAGGTACAGATGGCCAACAGATACATGAGAAAATGCTCAGCATTGCTGGCCATTAGAGAAATGCAAATCAAAACAACTCTGAGATTCCATCTCACTCCAGAGACAATAGCCATCGTCAAGATACCAAATAATAAAGGCTGGGGAGGGGCAACATTCTACATTGTTGGTGGGAATGTAAACTAGAGCAACCACTATGGAAATCAGTGAGGAGGTTTCTCAAACAACTAAAGCTGGAAATTTCATTTGACCCAACCATTCCCCTTCTAGGTACCTTCCTGAAAGAGTTAAAGTCATCATATCACAGTGATGTATGCACACCCATGTTTATAGCAGCACAACTCATACTAGCTAATTCTTGGAAGTGACCTATATACCCATCAACAGTTGAATAGATAAAGAAAATGTGGTGTTCATACACAATGGAGTACTACTGTGCCATAAAGAAGGATAAACCTGAGACATTCATAGGTAATCAGATGCACTTTGAGACCATAATGTCAAGTGAAATAAATCAGACACACAAGCTTAAATATCGCATGGTTTCTCTTATACAAGAAAGCAAAAATATAAAAAAGAGCAAAATAAAAGATAATCAGAAGTAAGGAGATCTTTTTCAAATAGGAAGGGGAATCAGGGATGGAGGGAGGAAGAAAAAAGGGATAGAAAAGAATTGGAGAAAAACTGGAAACAGAGCTTTTGCAAAAGGGAAAGGGAGCAAGAACTGCAAGGAGCAGGAAGGGTGGGAGGGGAAGAGGGCAGCAAAAGAATTAAGATGTGTTCACCTTCAAGCTCTCCCACAATAAATCTAATTATGGTGTACTGCAAACATGTACTGATAAAGATAAATAGTCATTAGCCCAGCACCAGGATGCTGAGGTCTAAACATAATGGGGAAAGATAACCAGGAAACTCAGCTCATACGCAGTGAGCCTGTGCCTCTGCAGCCCCATTACCATGGCATTGACTATGCAGATTTGACCGGGCGCGCACATGCGCACACACCCACATGCACACGCGCACACACACACACTCACACACACACACACACGCACGCATGCACGGGCTTTGGACACCATGACAGTTCCTTCAAGGGCCATAAAAGGTCAGACACTCCCCCTCCCATCGAAGTCAAACCCCGGAACAACCCCAGACCCTAACCCTTCAAACCCTGAATTCCAAGCTTCCTTGCCCTCCAACCTCTCTTCATTGGCCCTCTCCCACCCTGGGGGACCTCAATATATGGGGTAAATGGTTAATTTTTTTTAATTATCAGAGTAGGGCCGGGGATTTAGCTCAGGGTTCCACCGCCTGCCTCGAAAGCAGAAGTACCAGAGTTCGATCCCCGGTACCAAAACAATTATCAGAGTAAAAGACAAGACCTCCTGAAAATCCTCCCCCTCACTTCAAACACACTTTTCCCATCATTCTTGCCAATTTCTGAAGCAGTTCCGGAATCCTCTTTTATGAGAGCCTTTACAAGGTGTGATCAAAAATACAGTGAATGCTGTGGCCATGTGCCATCCAACAGTTAGGCAGGCTCGGGAAAACATGAGTGTGTCCTCATCCACATTATTCACCGGATCTGCCACCCATGGCTTCTGGCTCTTCCCCAAGGTCAAAATGACCAAGAAAGGTCAAAGTTTTGAATCGATTCAGGACATCGAGGCAGCCACAGTGGTGCAACTAAATACACTCATGAAAGAGGACTCCAGAGCTGCTTCAGAAAGTGGCAAGAACCATGGGATAAGTAAGTGTGTTGAAGTGAAGGGGAGTTTTTTGAAAGGGGATTCATAGCAATGTGTCTTTTATCAAAAAAGTTTTGAAAAATCTCAGTAGATACCATATTTTTCTATCATACTTCATACATCCAGACAAGTTGTGCACTGCACAACCCTAGGGAGCCTTATTGATTCTATAGTTCATGCTTGTGAGAGTCCTAGCTTTCAACCCTACCCTGGCTTAGCCAATTCCACATTTTAACTTATTTCCCTTAGTACCCTTCCCTTTCCAGGTAGTAATTTCTAAATTAGTCAAGAACACTGGGCCAGGGATTTAGCTCAGTGGCACCGTGCCTGCCTTGAAATTGCACAGTCCTGAGTTCGATCCCTGGTATCAAAAAAAAAAAAAAAATCATGAATCCAAGGGACAGAAATCCACTAATCAGAGTTCAAACACATGGGAATTTTCTGGCTCTTAGAACTAGGAAGAATGAGGCTTCAGGTACGGCTGTATCCAGGAGCTCAACCAATACAGCCAGAGCCATTTCTTGGACTCACTGTCTGTCCTGGTGTAGAACGACCTCACTTTGCAGATTGCTCTGGACATTTAGGGGAGGTAGTTGCAGGTAGCAGGACTGGAAATCAGAGCTGACACTGGCAGGGAGGCGGGGCGGGGCGGAGTGTGTGCACTCACTTTTGTGGTTGCAGTTTGTCCTTGTGCCTATCTGGGTTCAGATGTGGTCACAGAATGGCCTCGTCTGATCACTGTTTATACTCCGAGACCAGTGTTTAGGTTTCATAGAGAACATCAGGGCCTGGCTGCCAGGAGCTATTTTTTGCCTCCTCCCTGGCAGGGATCTGTGTCTTTGGGTGAAATCTATCCAGATGTCTCCCCAGTCCCGGATGTGGTTCTCCAGAAATGAGCCCTGGAGCTAGGCCCCTGGATTCCTTGTGGGACAGCAGAGACCAGTATGTGGGTAGGAGGTGGAAAGACATTAAGCGAGAGCATTCCACACTGACTTTCAAGGTGTGAAAGAATGTTCCTCAGAGACCTGGAGACTTCCACTAGCATAAAGAAAAAAATTTTAGGGGGAGAAGAAATCTTGGCTTAAGCAAAGTTAGGCAAGACCTGAAGGTGCAGGCTTGGCCTGTGTCTGGCCAGCCAGCCAGGGTCCCGCTATGTAGCTCAGTTTGGCTTTGAACTCACTATGAAGCCCAGGCTGGCTTCGAACTCCCAATCCCACTGCCTCAGCCTCCAAGTGCTGGGATGACAGGTGTGTGCCACCTCCGCTGGTTTGTTTGCTGCTTTTGGAACAAAGATATGAACAAAAGGCCGAGATAGAGAGAAAGAGGTAGAAGCAAAGAGAAGGACGGAGGCAGGCAGAGGGACAGAACCGGAGACAAAGGGATTGAGACAGAACGGGACCGATGTGGAGAAACAGGGCCAGAGGGAATCAGAGAATGCAGGAGAGACGGAGACATAGGGGCTGCGTCAGGCAGGGCCAGCGAGGGCCACGGAGGCGGAGAGGCAGGGCTGAGGCCGGCGGCGGCGCGGCCCGGCAGAGAGACCCGCGCGCACAAAGGGGAGGCCGGCGGGACAAAGGCCGGCCCGGGGGGCGGGGGCAGCGATGGCGCCGGCCGCGGCGGGGCGGGCGGACTACAAG